TCTGCTGTGGCTGTGTTGGCTGCCCTGTCAGCAGTTGGCTTCTGTCTTCACAGACGTATGTAAATGATCTTTTCTTCATAGTTTTGATTTTGTAGCAACCAGAATTTCCTCCTTCAACATGTGGTGGATCACAAATATACTGTTGCTTACAGTGTGCCTTTGTACAACATTTTTAATAAAACATTTATCACGGAGAAAATACCCCAGTTTAACATCGCAACAAGAATAATGAAAAATTGTATGCAGCAGAGTCATTACTGGAAATAAATGAAAGAAGAAGACATATTTTGACAGAAGTAAAACTGCATTACAGTATCGTTCAAGCACAAATCCATAAAAATTTATGTTTGGCTGTGCTTTTGACATCAATAAATTTCTTATTTTGTTTTTTTATAAAATATCTGGAATAACATTAAAAAGCAAGGACTTAGAATTTATCAATTCAAATCATATCTGATCTAAAACTTCTTGACGATGGTGAAGAGTCAATTGAATTAAAAATTTTCTTGGATATTATCCATCGTCTAGTAAATATAAAACGTAAAACGACGTTTCGGAGATGGGACTCTATCTCCGTCTTCCGTATCCAAGAAAATTTTTATTCAATTAATTCAAATCATGTTGAAAACTTAATACATGTCAAGTTACATTCTATTGGTACGTATATAAAACATTTTATATTTTCCTTGCTACGTGAGATATATGAGATCATGGAGAGCAGTGGAAACAAAATACTGTGTTTCGGAAGCAAACCATTTACAAGTGTGAGATAACGAAGTTTTTTATTGCCTATCAATAGATGGGTCTTGCTATTGCTATCTTGTTACTGGACTTATGTTTGTGAATTTTTATAATTACCTGTCAATAATTATTGTTAATTTTATTTTAATTAATACAAATTTTGTGCATGTTTAGTTTACATTGAAAATTATTGTGATTGTTTTGTTTTCTTCTGGAAAGTTGACTACAAAATTTAAATTGTGATACAGGGGAAATATTTTTGTGTGAAAATAATAATACCCCATTTTAAAAATGTAACAGTGATATTAGAAAAGTTTTATACAGCAGACGCAGTTCTTATTTTGGAAGTGACCTCATCCTGATGTAATCGATTACAGGACCAGGAGTAGGTGCACCAGCAGGTCTAGGTGGACAGGGCTTGGATGCAGGTTCTGGTCTTCAAGATACGACTGCTGCCCTGGACAATAAGCATAATGCTGAACAACGGGAACGCTATTATGCGACTGTCCATAAACCTGCACAGTTGCAGTCGCCTGGTCTCGAACGCATACCAGGTAAAGTAAGAACATTACTAAAAGAATAAAAATCGTCTGAACTTGGAGATCTAATGATTATAAGGATGACTATAAATTGAGGGAAAATCAGGGTTAGCGACAGGTGACCTTGACCCAGTTTGAAGTAAAACTTAGTGTTCATCTTGAGGGACTCAAAATTTCTCAGTGTGAATTTAGTGAGCTATGATATTACATTTTTAAATGAATGTCAACAAGAAAGGACTAGTGAAATACAAAATAATCCCTGATTTTTACGGTTAGTTACAACATAAACAGCAGCAGCACTAATAATAAGAAACTCATCAAATTTCTATTATTCTCAACTTTATCCTCCTTGCTATAATACTTATTCTGTTGTAATTACTGTATTTAACAGCCCAATAACCTTTCCTATGTTAACTGTAATCATTTTAAGTACGAAGTGTCACATTCATTAAACGTGGCCTGGCTCTTTGAAAATAATCCATCCAATTCTGAGGTTTTGTAAAAGTTTCATAACAGAACATGCTTGCAGTGAAGGATTTTTAACCCTATTCCTGACCTCTGAGCCGGAGGATCACCCCTTTTTGGCTGTTCACAATTGCATGTTCTGTATATTCGAAGCTACCCTCAATATGTGGAGGACATTTCTACGATATACAACCTCATGAGAGAAAAAACTTAAAAGAACTTATAGATGTTTGATTGTAGTCAATCAATATGTTTATAAAAAAATAGATTTTTTTTTCAAAAACTTTTAAGAAACTTTGTTACGTTAGCATATTGAAGATACTCTTTTTATTCAAGTCATGCATTTGCTAGACTTGCTAACCACATTCTTCAAATTATTAATAAACTCCTATACGCTACTTACAGAATACTCTGAGGATATTTACCCATATGCAACATTTCATCTAGCAGAACAAGAAACCATGGCATCAAATCCACAAATGCAGATGCAGCAGGTGTTGGGTTATAAGAGCCATCCCATGAGCAGTATACAAGGCAAACAGGTAGGGTGAACGACCCTTATAGGGTAGATTTGACTAATTTTCGTTTTAGAAAGCTGGAGAAAGTTTCACGTTCGAGGATCTTCGTGAATTGTACTCTTTGCCGTATATTATTAGAATAAAATCGAGGGTAGTGAGGTTGATGAGGCATGTTATGCAAATGAGGAGATGAGAAATGCACACAAAATTTATGTTCAAAAGCCTAAATGGAAGAGACCCCTTGGAAGACAGACACAGGTGGGAAGATAGTATTAAAATGTATCTTAGGGAGTATGTGAAAGTGGTTGTTTCTTGCTCCAAGAAGAGTTTTAAGATGGTCTTAAAGAACTAGAAAGTTGGATATGGACCACATTGATCTGGCCTTCGGGTATCATAAAAGGAGTGAAATTTCTTTATTAGCTGGATGATGATTATTGGCTTTTTAAGAAATACTGTGTTTCATGGAGTTACTTACATGTGGTTGGTTGGTCATTTGGTTTGGTTGGGTTCAGGTCAATTCTGTTTGGTACAGTTGGTTTGTTTGGTTCATTAATAGGTTTGTTGGTTGGTTACTGAACAGATTAAGATTTGTAGTCTTTGTAGAGTAATCTGTTTTGAATACGCGCTTTAAGTGTCAGTGTGGGGATGGTGTCATATGATTATTCCACAGAAGTATGGTTAATGAAGTCATTAATTTATTTTTGATCTATCTGTAAAATGACATGTCTAAGATCTTGCTTTTTGCATTGTAAGAAAGTGTTCATAGATTTCTGTTCACAGATGTATTTCAAGCAGCGACTTTTAAGTGAAGAATAGTTGGGAAGCTTTATTTCTGTACTCCTTCACCTCTATGTATCAGATTCTTTAACTTATGTTTATTTGACAGTATTTCCTTTAATCACGTTAATATAATTTATGTTTATTAGTGCGATACGGATTGGTAAACAACAGGATTTAATATTTTAGTGTGATCCTGATCATAATTTAAAAGCAAGATCTCGGGTGGGGCGAAAATCTAAGTCTCACAAATCGGAAAGTGAAGAATATGACAGCCTTGGCTCCGACAGCGACACGGAGCAAGGCACTTCCAGCCGTACTGAATCATCTAACCATCTGGATGATCCAGGCCCTGGGTCAGGCAGGGCTGGCATTCACAGACCAGCCCATCACAGTAAGTTAGTATTCCTTTTTAGCATTCTATGTATGTCCATTTTAATCTCTTGCTGTATATTACTCTTCCAAGAAACATAAGATACAGAGTGTCCCAAAAATTTGTGTACACATTACAATACAGAATATTAACCTTGTTATCAATCTCCATTTTTTGTGTTAACAAGGGTAACCTAAGTTGTCTTTATTTCATTCATTAAATGCGTGTATACTTCTTTTTGGGACATTCTGTATATTTCTTCCTCTAGAATGAGATTACTGATACATTATTATTATTATTATTCAGTGTTCTGTCTTACGACAGGTCCATTGCTCTGCCCAAAAAGAGCTCTCCAGTTTTCCCTATTCTCAGCTTCTTGTTTTAATTCCTGGAACGTCATCTTCTTTCCTTGTTTAAGGTCGTCGGTTAGCTGTATCAATCTTCTTCCTCGTCCTCTCTTTCCTTCAACCTGGCCTTCGATGATATCACTCAGTATTCCATTCCTTCTCATAATATGTCCCTGCCAGTTAGCTTTCCTTCGTGTAATCGCCTGCAGAATGTTTCTTTGCTCGTTGACTCTCCTCAATACTTCTTCGTTGGTCACTCGATCCGTCCACCTGATCTTCTCTATTCTTCTCCAACACCACATTTCAAAACTCTCCAGGTATTTCTGTTCCTTCTTCCTGAGTGTCCAAGTCTCTGCTCCATATGTAACACTTCACTAGTTTCTTCGTCGTCTCCAAGCCCAACTTGCTAGTGAGAAGTATCGTCTTCTTGATGAAAGCTGCCTTGGCCATGGCTATCCTTGCTTTTACTTCCTTGGTGCATAGGGCGTCCGTCGTGATTATGCTTCCACTGATACATATTAAAATTAATCATTCTCAGATTCGCTTAACAAGCTGAAATATTGTGCATGATGGGCATTTGAATTAACTGCTCTGATAACATCTCACTATATTGAATTTAAATAATGCAATATTGGCCTCGGAGTAGAAAATTTGCAGAGACCTACTTTAACAATTTTCCATGCCGTTTATATTCAGAGAATCCTGTGCTGTCAGACCGGTTAATTTAAATTCCCTCTATGCTCTGCATTTTAGTACATTAAGTGCATAGGGTACATTTAGTTTTATTATGCAATTCTGCATTAGGCGTGATAGAGAGTTAAAATTAAATTATGGTCTTTAAAAAGGAAGCAATGAAAAATATTTATTTCATTTCGTCTTTTACGTGTCACATCACTTTTTATGTTCACGTTAATTGTTACAAAATAAACATTTTAGCATAACAAGAAGAATGAGAACGAAGCTGAGAATAACAGGAGTCCAGCGAGTCTGTTAGTGATAGTGTTTCTGTTGTTCAGTTTGTATTTGACTGTAAAAACCAGGGATATTTTTTTTTTTAAATTTGGCCAGACCTGTCTTGCTGAAATAGATTTAATGACGTCGGAAAAGTGTACTCTTTGGAGTACAGTGACATACCAAAAGTGATTTTCATGCAATTTCACATAGGTCATGGTTGCACTAATGTGATTCAGAGTTATTGTTGCATCTTAGGTCATTCTTACAATAATGTGATTAAAAGGTATTGTTTCACACACATTCAAGCATGAAGAATGCCTGAAGGAAATAAATTTAAAATTAGAAAATTTCAGTCTCTCAAGATGAAACATACGTTATCTTCTGAAGTTCTGAGGATATTTTTTTTCTGTGGTAACGCTTATTCTGTATACTGTACTGCATTATACAGCCTAAAAGCAGTGTAATATCACTGTTTTCTATGCCGTCTATCTGTTACACTGTTTGCCGTAACCCTTTTCTAAAGTTTTATAATCTTAGCAGTGATGAACCATAAAAAATTGGCACTTTCATTGATGATGTATTGTTTTTTTTCTATTTATATTATTTTCCAGGTATGAAACATAATTTCCTTAAATTCTAATTAATTTTTGACATGCTGATAAAATATGTTTGGATTTAAGGTGCGAGTTAATATTAGATGTCTAAAAATAAGACTTTTGGGTCACTCAAATAACATTGACATATGCAAGTAATGCACTGCTTTTCCATACAAGAGGTATTTTGTAAATTATAGCAAAGAACAAATCACCTTTAGTTTAAATAGATGTGATTTGTCGTGTGGAAATTTGTCCATTATGTCAAAACAATGCCTAAAACCTGTAATGATTTTCAAATCAATATCTTTTGCGATTTATATGCAGATCTGTGACAGTGGGTGATTCATTATACTTGTCCATTGTGATATGTATTACTATCTTATTTTTACTATTAGTGGTGACATTTGGGATCAAACCCAGGACCTTTTTAATATACTAGGCTAATTATCGATTGTTATAACACTAATCACACACATGTGGTTACTTCCTGCTACAAGATTTGATTAAGGGATCAAGAATTGTGTTTCAGCCAAGGAATATTTCTTTTTAATTGCATCGTCTTTGAATTATAATTTAATGAATTTCCACAAGTACCAGTTAATTTCTTATAGTATATCATTCTAATATTTTTAGGTTTTAATATTGATCTTCCATCTATTATCTTTGTACCTAAATGGTCTGTTTCCATTTAATATGTGGTGTATAAAATTTAATTTCTTTAATTTTTAGATTTCCTTTACCACACACAAGAATCAAGTACGTCAACAGAGCCGTCACCAATTTCTGAACACAGAATATTTCCTTGCAACAGCAAACTCAGGTGAGATACCCCTGCCCTGCCATTCATTTACCTCAAAAAGTAGGTTTATGTTTTGTGGGATGGACTAGAAATGTTTCCGCACTGTAGCTAATCAACCAGGGATATCAGAATTGGTAGGGTTAACTGATTCGGCAGAGTACTTGTTTGTCCTGTAATATTTTTCGCTTGTGAATTGCAGTCCGATACTTTTCACTGAACTTTACTTTTCAACGTTTAAAACACTCCTGACAATTCTGTTTTTGTCAGTTGTCTTATGGGTCGTGATGCCATGTAGTCTTTAGATGGTTACCAATGTTTTGGAGGAATATTTGCTACCACCAACAAGACTACATTGCAGATTGTTTATTTATTTTTATTACTGTAACAAGCATATAGATTTATCCATTTCTTACACCATAGCACTGAGCTATTCTTTCTCCTGTTGTAATAATTTTATAATTTGGTCATAATGGAATTATCCCCCTTTTTCATCTAGGTCTTCAATTGTCTAATTGAGATTTAATTCAAAGTTTGTATTTTTGTTAAATATGTCAATTATCAGTGAGTGCTATAGATAAAAAATCTTTTTGGTGGAATATCTAATATAGATGTAGCTCATCTTTCGTCACTTGGTACTACATACAAGAGTAATCAACTATTGGCTGCTGACCCAATGTGAAATGTGCATTTGTTGTACATGTTTCTGCTTTATGGCACTATCTTTTATCTGTATTTTTAACCACATAAACAAATCTTATACCTAAGTCCAGTTTATTGATTTAATTTTTAAGAGACTTTTTTAAGCATTTAATGTTGCCCATAAACGTGGCTTTTCCTGCATTATGTAATGATGTAGCGTAACAGTAGTAATGTTCTAAAGGGTTGCGTGATCAGCCATCAGTCAACCATCTGTACACATGTTTGTTAATTTAACTCCTGGGTACTTAGCTGTCTGTAGTAATGTATTTTGCTTACATAGAAATGTAAATAAAATGTTTATCTGATTAGAAGGTGTACTTCGGAGATGCTACAAGCAGATGCAGAAGCTTTGGTTCTGCCACCAAGTGGTTTTGGTGATGTCCATACACATGAACTCAGTGAAGCTGAATGTGATATTGGCATGGACATCAACCTGGCTCGAAAGTTCCGTCTTCATAGCCATGATTTTACCATTGCTGTGTGAGACCCATTGGCAGGTTGCTGTCCTTGGTTTGAATTGAACCAGAGATCTCTAGTTTTGAGTGAGACTGCATTGGAGCTAACCCGGATTATTTTATGTCTGATATCGAGGTCTTAGGATATTATTAATTTTATTTGTCTGTTTGATGACAATAGTGACTGACTACAACATCAACATTTTTAAAGGTTTAATATTACATGTGTGAATTAGTTTTTGTAGAATGTGTTTAACAATATTTTTCATCATTTTAAATCCAACTTGTTAAGAAATTGTTAAGTTGCAGCCCTGATACCAGTGCAAGGCATAATATTATATGAGGTGAAGCTTTCGCGGTGACTGAAGTTGTTGAAAGATTCGTGGGCTGCAAGCCGCATCAGGTGGCTGAACGGTGGACAAACCATACCTTCTGCCAACATTTCATTCACCATTCAGCCACCTGACGCGGCTTGTAGCCCGAGAACCTTTCATCAGGTTATTATGTCTTTTCTTATTCTTTCTCTTTTCTTCTTGTGCAAATTTTAAGGAGGGGTTTGCATAGACTGGTTACCCTGGACCCATGCCCCATTAGGGATGGCTCTGTCTTTTACTACACATGAAGTAAATTGTTAAGAACAATATCTAGTTATACCACACAAGAGTTCCATTTCTTTAGATTAAAAAGCTTATACACCATACCAACAAAACATTTTGATATAGTAGGCCCATGTTCTTGTTTCTCAACATAAACCTGTAGAAAGAATTTGTGATGTAATTTAAGAAATCTGACTCCGCCGTAACAAAAGTCGAGGTTTTGCCGAGTGACATTTACAAGAAGAAAACAGTAGAATAATACAGATTTCATAGAATTATTTTAAAAATTTGACTTCAAAATAATGTGTATGTACTGAATTAAATATACTTATAGTTGTCTGCTTAAAATAAAAGATTTGTATTTTCAGTTACGATGCAAACGCACCCACGACATCTTCTTTTCTCTGTAACATATTTTAGAACTATTCCAGTCTTATGAGAGTATGTGCTGATGTTATGTGTGAGGAGCAGACTGTCACCTGTATTCAGGAGATACTATTAAAACACCTGTTTCAATAGACACCACATCTGACAGCATTTCTCATCCAGAATTCAAGTAGGTTATGTCATTTGGGTTGGCTCTAATGTGTCATCTGTAATTTAAGGGACAGTGTCAAGTTACAGTTGTTTTTGAAAAGTTATGAATCTTCCAGCTAGCATATTTTTCAGAAATGTATATTTTAATTATCTGTATGATGGCGTTGAAATTGTATATATGACGATGTTGGGATCTGGATTGTACTTCGTGTAGGATTTCTGAACAGGAATACCAAACTCCATTTTAGTTGCTGTTTTGATTATTGTCACAAAGTAATATAGGAATGTGCAAGTTTAGTTAATACTTTTGATTCAGTGTTGTTTCTTTAGAATGTTTTAATTAGTCTTAATTAGTCTTAATTTTTAACCTTGTGTCATGTCATCTGCCTCTTAGAATGATAAATTTTGTATTAAATTACATTGCAAGCATGTTCAGAATATCTTTATTACTTGATCTTAAGACACATTCATTGTTTGACACACTTGATTCAGTAATAGGTTTTCATGGAAAAAATACATATTGTTGCAGTGGGAATTGTTAATGTTCAAACATAAAACTTCTTTGTATTAATACTTTCACAATCTTCTTTACTACTGTCTTTGTGTTTACTGTCTCATGACTAGTGTTATGGACATTAAGATTTTCCTTGCACTCCACATAACAACATAATTTTTCAACATTGATTCACAGATTCTATCAAATGTAAGATGCACACCAGTTTCAGAATTTTTAAAATGTGAAGAAGTGTCTTAAAATCAAGGAATGTGTATTTAATAAGTTTACAAACCATGAAATGTATGTTTGAGTTTCAAGAAATTGGTTTTGAATTGTGTGTAGTTAATATAAAGACACACAGTCATAGTGTATTTAAAATGTCTCCTCAGTTTAATTTTTCATATTCTTTCAGGGTGAATTATTCATTACAAACTTTGGCTTTTTAAGTGCTTGGAATGAAATCCATTTCAGGTGAGTGAAGTTATTGCCAGTGGCCCAACTTTCTACAGTGCATCCTGTCATTTCAAAAATTGTGTTTCTGTTGGATGATATAGACATTCTTTTGTCTTTTTTTTTTGTCTCCCTATCCCTCTGCCCCCTCCTTAAAAATTTCTCTCACTGATGTAGCAAATTTAGAAAATGTTCTTGTGCTGGCATTTTGGCAGTGTTTATCGATAATTACCCATAATTAGGTGCTGTTTCACACCACTTGTTATGAATGAACCATATTGTGTTCTGAATTGATTCCAATGATAATTATGAATTGACATGTGGTTACTTGCACATTCTTAAATATATTGAATCATATATGATTGAAAGTGATATTTCTAATATGTTTGAATAAAGAGAATAAAAATAAAAATATTTTGGTGTAAATGTAAGTATAACTATATTTTCTGAAATACCAAATCCACCTATGTGACTGATAAGATAACATGGTGCAGGAAAGCCATGTTGTGAAAAGTACTTTACACTGTATCAACATGTATTTCATGCCTCCTTCCAGAGAATGTACAACAGTTTGAAACTTAATGTTTATTTCTCCAAGTTGACAACAGGACAGGACCATGATGTGACATCATCCACAACATTAAGCACCGTCTTCATTATGGAGACCTCAAACTGTACAGTAGATCAATTTTATGTGCAGGGAAATCCATAGTAGCTGCAGAGCATGAAATGCAAAGAGTTGGATCAGGATTACATCCCACTGTACACCTACACCCCATGCCCCCCAGAACAGTCACCGTGAATACAGCCTTCATTTTCATACACACTCACACAGGTTTCCATTTAAAGATAAAATGTTCATTTGAAGCCTATATCATCACTTAGGGAGAGGATTTTTTTGTATGTAAGGGGACCATTTCAGCATTCAAGAAGGTAGGGTCAATAAGTTCCCATCATAATACTAAGAGGTTTTGTTCTAAATGCCCATGCACCAACTGAGGATAAATGTAATGATACAAGCAACAGCTTTGATGACAAAACTAGGATGTGTATGTAATCAATTTCATAAGTACCATATAAAAGTTCTGTTCAGATATTTCAGTGCAATGTGCATATTTAAATGGTGTGTCATGCGTAACGTCATTAGTGATTTACCGAATTAATCGTGCTGCCATCTGTCAATGGACATCATGAACTGCTTAACATCCACGGAACGTACGTTGATGACATCGCCCTATTGACATTTATATGTAATCATTCGTTATCACCGCTCTCAAAATATTTAGAAGTCGTGTAGAATTGCTCAACCTCCACATAAAATTTCATGCATATCCGTCCAGTGGTTCTCGTGTTGAGTCGGGTGGACAGACAGACAGGAACAACCCATAAATCATTCTCTTTGTGCACCTCGTGAAAAAAATGCATAATAAATAATAATATTATCAGCAATAAGAAGAGGCGTGGACTGAGAATTGAGTACATTGGTTAGCATGGAGCTGTAGTGTTGAGTGTTTATTACCTTGAGGAGGGTGTGTGATCGGAGAAGGAAGTAATGTGTGGGAGTATGGAAGCAGTTGTGAGCGATTTATTAATTTCGTTTTAAGAGAACAGAGTAATTCAGAAACTGGACATGTAAGTATGGTGTATTACTTGAAAGAACATGGAACAGTGGTTGTTAATAAAATTATGTAATGTGTCTGTTACGTTGTGTCAAATATGAAAGATTCGTGATGTTTCGAAAGTGACGTATACACACTGATGTACTTCCTGAAATGGGATGACAAAAGATCGTATTTACTGATGTTCTTATGTGATAAATTACGTAGCAAATAACTGTAATATACAAGATTTGTGTCGGAAAGGAATAATAATTCGCAGTTCCCCTCCCACCCAATCGCCTTGTGGGATTCATTTGGATTAACCTCCTCTGTCTGATATTGATCTTTATTTGCAAATGCTTTACTGTGTGCTGAGGTTGAGATGTAGTTTTTGTTATGAAACTACACCTTCTGTTTGTAATACAATTGTTTCTCCATAACAGGCTCCCTACTGATGTATTGAGACTGAAAAGTCTGTAAATAAAATTAAAGACTTAATGTGTAGATTTATGTCATGTGTCTCTCTAAGCTAATGAACCATAACCAAACGAAATTAAATTAAGCCAGACGTAACAAGGAATCAGCATTTGTGTGGCACCATACTGCAGTCTTCACGTAAGTCTTAAATTAAGAAACTGATGAGTCTGCAGCATCTTTCAAAAGTTATAATAAAACACCATTGTGAATCACATTGATAAATGTAATCAGTTATCACTGTGTAGAAAAGATGTAACATGCATCAGTGAATAAAAACCTGTAAGTGGTGATATGCAGTGCAGTACAAGCAGCATTTTCTTACATTGTATTCATCTCTTTGTGGACTGGATGGATATTCTGCAGGCATGAAGTCTCTGATAAGGCTAACAGGGTATTGGATCAGCTAATGGAAGGTCAACTGATGTTAAAAAATCAATTTTAATAAAACCACTTTGTTCACCACGGCTGTTGCAGTAGCTGCTGAAACTGGTGTGTTTCCAACATACATTTCACAGGGATATAATACATTTTGTACCATACCTTCTGTAATTTCTAAAATAACATTTTGGTTTGCAACATGTAGAACCTCCAAAGTGCGTTAATTAATTCTGTAAACTGTGTTTCTGAAAATCACAAACATTCAAGTCTCAGTACAGCAGTGGTCATAGACCTCCACTGATTTTACATTCATCAAACACACATTACTCCCAAATTGAATTTTCTGAATTTTATGCGGGTACAATCTGTACAATGGAAACATTTTTAATGCCAGTGACAGTGGTCATGCAGTCTGGGGCCTTGATTATGGGTTTGAATCCTACTCAAGGCATAGATGTTTGTGCATGTCTTTATAGTGTGGTATGCTGTATAGGTAGAAGTCTTGCTATAGGCTGATCACTCATCCAAGGAGTCCTACCAAATGTCTAAATAGATCAAGAAAACCCATGTGTGAAGAGGCCAAGGACCGAAGAGCCTAGGAGGGAGACGTTTTCAGACTACCTGCAGATTTGTAATTTAATATTCATCTGTGTGTGTATTTGATTTTTGCTTTTCTATGAAAAAGAGCCTCCATGTTATGCTACATTTAAACTTGTGTGTTAAACAGGGTTCTTTTTTGTGTTTAATTTCAGATGCAGTCATCAACAATGGCTACTGAAAAGGTTACACTCACTGATGCTTTGTCAAATGTTGATGTTTTGGATGAACTTACATTACCAGACGAACAGCCATGTATTGAGGCTCAGCCATGTTCTGTGGTGTATCAAGCAAATTTTGATACAAACTTTGAAGACAGGAATGGTTTTGTCACAGGAATTGCAAAGTATATTGAAGAAGCTACTGTACACGCAAGCTTGGTGAGCTAATTTTTAGCATGTGGAACAGAAATATGCTCATGAATGATAGTAGAATTTTTTTAAAGTGTCTGTCTAATATGATTATGCCAAATAAATTATCATTCGGGAGACCTTGTAAGAGAAGACATGCAAAATGGAGTGTTCTTTACAAATATATAAACCACTCAAAGAATTCAAAACAGTAAATGTATAATCTTTATTTATGGCATTCTTCAGTCTTAGTAAGTATTGTTTTCAGATCGTATATTGCAAAATTCTGTGAATACTGATTTTATAGACTCCAGTCATATTAAGTACGCTGTCTTACAGATCTTTCAGGGGATTTTGTGAAATCCTGCTTACTCGACAAGAGTTCTTGGGTTAAAAGAAGTAAAATCAGAACCATTTTAAAATTTGAGTGGGGAAAGTTCTAGTTTCTCAGTGTAGTCACATCAAAACTTCATGCACACTCTTTAATGGTTCCATAACATGCCCTGTAGGCATGGCACGTGTGCATGTCCGTGAGACTTCCTGCAACTACGTGCCGTCGGAGATTCGCCTCTTTTCGTAAAGAAGGTAGAAAAGGCTTTTGAGAATTGTGTTTTGTAAACCTGTAACCAGCCAACGACATTTTGTATTTGGAAAGATAACAAATGAAGTGTGAATAAATGTGGAATTTTTCCATGATATTTTGTCATGTGTCACTGTGTTTAATATGTACGTTACAGTTTATCCGTATTTTTAGTAACTAATATTCCTGCGCACACAGAATGAGCTTCTTGAGGAGGGTTTAGTTCATGCTGTAATGTTGTACACGTGGCGGTGCTGCTCACGCGCCATTCCTCAGCCGAAATCAAATGAGCAGCCAAATCGTGTCGAGATATACGAGAAGACAGTAGAGGTTTTAGCACCGGAGGTAAACAAACTTCTGAACTTCATGTATTTCCAGGTGAGTGGAAGGAAAATATTCATATTTGTGAGTGGATTTTATAACAAAAAATTATTGCCGAGTATGTTATCTTATTACTGTATAAGGATCGTAATTTCTCTTACAGCGGAAAGCTATTGAGAGGTTCTCTGCAGAAGTAAAAAGGTTATGTCATCAAGAAAAAAGAAAAGATTTTGTTTCAGAAGCTTACCTCCTGACACTTGGCAAGTTTATCAATATGTTTGCCGTTTTGGACGAGCTCAAGAATATGAAATCCAGTGTCAAGAATGATTATTCAACGTACAGGCGGTAAGTTTATGTCTTAATTGCCGTGTGATTTCTCTGTTTAAAAAGACGAGGATTTTTAAATGAAATTGAAAACTTATTTTATTTATTTTTATCATCCAAAAATGTGAATATTTTCCCGCATTTCAGAACAGAAGTTGTATGTGATTTATATTACCATCAAAGTGGAAACAATTTAAAGAAATGTTTTTTATGTATATTTTTTCAGTGTATCCTACTGTATCATGACAGTCTTTTTTTTCCCTCCCCACTTGTTGACATAGTTCCAGTATTTATCAGTTGGCATCTGTAGTTGTTCTTGTGAAGTTAGAACAAATACAGGTATCATATTTGAACACATCTTTTTATTTTTCAGACAAATTCAATTTATGTGACAGGTTAGTTTAATACAACACATTAGTTTTGCGGTAGCAGACAATGTGAGTGTGTGGGAAATAGGCTGGAATATGTAACCATTGTACAGTAAACCCTCCGTTGGTACAGGTTTTTCCAATATGCACTCAATTATGCAGATGAAAATAAATGTGAACAATTGTTTGCTGAAATGGAAATTTTGATTATATGTGGTCTGCAATCGCACTGTAGTAGCATATAAAAATAGTTTAAAAATTTATAGATGGTTTAGCTTTTCATATAAATTTGTATAACCAACTTTGTTATAAGTAGAATTTGAGGTTTTCATGGCGGTGAGTATGAAGATGGCTGTCTTCTGGGTTGTAGTGCCATACAATATGAAGTTGGTCCAGCACGGATTCACAGAGAACACAGGTTTTGAGGAATGTATAACCCACATTGGGACTAAGGTTTGCTGTATTGTAAAGTTCTACTTCTGCAAATTTTGTTTGGCATAGTTTCAAATTTGATAAATATAAAATAAAAATTAATCAATCATAAATAAATTGATTGCATGGTTGACGGATTTTTTCTTAACCGAAACACTCTGATTTAAATACCCCTCTACATGCACAGAAAAATGGCAGACTTCCCTTTCCTTATATAATAAATTGTGTGTTTTGAAATGTTTTGCAATGTCCGTGAATCAGCATCAGAAGCAAGGGATTTTGAAGTTGTGTGTTTCTACAGGTTGTAAATACAAGAACCTGTATGAATGATTATATACAGTGACCAAAGCTCGTCCAAAGGTTTTAAGGCCGTGCTTATTGGATAAGTATTATTGTTTATTGACAGACTCAATCTTAAACCATAAGCACCTTAAATTTCCTAGCATTTCAAGTTTTCCACCCATACATTATCTTGTGCCTTCAGAAATACAAAATAGAAGGTTTATCATTTTAATTTTTACTTCACGACGATACTAAATGTCTCACTTTTATGTCAAAAGTGTCTGTTGTCTGTTGCAGGGCAGCACAGTTCTTGAAAGTGATGGCAGATTCGCAGACCCTTCAAGAGTCCCAGAACCTTTCCATGTTCTTAGCAACACAGAATAAGATTCGAGATACTGTGAAAGAAAATTTGGAAAAAATTCCTGGCTATGAAGAGTTGCTGGCAGATGTGGTCAACATATGCGTTCACATGTTTGAAACGAAAATGTATCTGACTCCTACTGAGAAACACATGTTGGTTAAAGTAATGGGGTTTGGCCTCTTTCTTATGGACAGTGAACTCTGTAACATAAACAAACTTGATCAGAAGAAGAAACTGAAACTTGAGAAGATAGACCGAATTTTCAAGGTAAATGAATTTTATTTTTGGCCGATTCTCTAAATGTTTCTGACAGTAGTTGATTCATTGAACTGCACACTTTTTTTTACATTGTCCAAGGGGAGTTTATTGAATTCAGTTGCCGGAAATCTCGAAGTCACATACTGACATGTTTATGTTTCCCTCCCTCCCACCCTGAAATTAATGGCTGTGATAAAAGTTGAACCCAGAAACCTTTAAATACTAAACTTGTATACCAGTCACTAGACTACCGGTTGGTTGTTGTGCTTCCCGTTTGCACGTAACATCTATGATGATTCCTTATAAAACAGAACTGTATATTAGGAATAAACAAACCCCAGCCATGAAATTCAAAACTAGTCATTTCAGTGACTGTCTTTTCCTGCTCATATTCAAAACACAATGAAATATATTTAATAAAATTTGAAAATATTTTAATGTCCATTTTATTGATATCTTATGATGTAGTGGAATTATAAAAGCATTTAACTGCATACTGTGATAAGAATTTGATTCATTTACAGAATCTGGAGGTGGTTCCTTTGTTTGGTGATATGCAAATTGCTCCATTCAATTACATAAAGCGTAGTAAACATTTTGATCCTTCTAAGTGGCCTCTGTCCAGCTCCAATAGCATCAGTCCTCAAGCAGATCTCATGGTGCATTTGCCACAGATACGAGAAGATCACGTCAAATACATCAGTGAATTGGCACGGTACAGTAATGAGGTGAGTTCTGTTCTACCTGTCATGCTTTAGCGAACATGTGGCAAATGCAGGTTCGTTTGTTGCACCATCTTACATATCCGGCCCATTTTAACCTACTTCATGTCACTAGTCTAACAATACTGGGTGATCTGTATAATTCACAGAGTTAAAACCAACTTAACTTAATTCTTAGTGGTGGCATTTTCTCCACGAGGAGTACAATGGCCAGGAACCAAACCGTGTGTTTACCCACAACTCTAGTTTGCGGGTAGAAGGAAAATAAGCACATACAGCACATAAATTGATGACATTATTGATGTAGCGACTAAGACGGCAAGCTACAAAAGTATTTCCACTGGGAAATTTTGTGTAAGCATGGACACTATATGCTTTCTTAACTGCTATCCGTCTGAACCCCTGCTTTTTGTAATGGATCTGGGATGCACAGTTTCATCCTGACCACTGTAATAGTTGTCCCTTCGTGACTTGGGCATCGTTACTGTAAGCGAATGTCAGAGTTACCACAGAAATCTCTTACAGGTTACTACAACATACAAGGAGACTCGTAGTGACGCAGAGAATAAAGAGACAGCGGATCTAGCACTCCGCGGCCTGCAGTTGCTTTCTGAATGGACCAGTGTTGTTACAGAACTGTACTCATGGAAACTTCTTCATCCCACAGATCACCATCAAAACAAAGACTGTCCTCAGGAGGCTGAGGAATATGAGAGAGTATGTATGTGGTGACAATATCAGTTTTTGCGTGTTTATTCCAAAATATACTTGGTATGATCCTTGGGTACTGTGGTACCTTTAGCTAATGAATTACGCAAGTTCTTACAGTTACAGTAATGCAAATTAAAATGTTACAAATTTGAATCAGTGTTTTGATATCCTTTGTTACAGGCCACAAGGTATAATTATACAGATGAAGAAAAGTTTGCCTTGATCGAAGTAATAGCCATGATCAAAGGCTTGCAAGTTCTTATGGCACGGATGGAAACCGTATTTACTGATGCTATCCGTCGCAATATCTATGCTGAGCTGCAGGATTTTATACAACTTTTGCTACGTGAACCACTCCGCAAAGCCATAAAAAACAAAAAGGATCTTATTAGGAGGTTAGTATGTCTTTGAAATTATCTGAATGATCTGATGCTTTGGCTTCAGTACCCCGAGGACGAATATGGGTCTTCGAAACATTGGTGTTTTCACCTTTCAGCCACCTGACATGGCTGGTAACTCAAGAATAATTCATTTTGGTATTATCTGGTCAGTATTTGTTTAATTGCATTTCTTCGTAATACAGTTTAGTGACTTCTAACATGGCATAAGCACTTTCTTCTGAGTCCTGTTCATTTCACCATACGTAATAATCCTCTTGTACCTTTTAGCAATAATTATCCTCTGCAGCTAATTAAGAAATGTCATTAATATCCTTAGAATAATCTGACATTTCCAGTCTCAGCTAGTAGCGTACTGCATAAGGTGGTCAAAATTCCGGGTCTATTCCTAGATCAGTGTTACATTTGATTTTATAAAATGATGTCAGTACGAGTTATGTTACGCAGATCAGAATGCTGAACTTAAGAATGGAAAGGTATTCTGCAATGGAGTTCACATAATTTGTAAATGTGTTTGTCTTTAACTATGTTTTCTGTCTCATAGGCATTTGTTATTGATTTATTACAAATACAAATTTGTTATTTGAAAGCTAATTACACTGCACAGTCATAAATTATTTCTTCATATATATAATTAAATTTACACCAAAAAATGTTTCAAATAAGGTATGTGGATCTTAATGAGATGTATATTTTATATTTATAACAACCTAGATGTCTGTGGATTTGGTGCAAAGACCAGTTTTAAGACTAGCTCTGTTTAAATACGATCTTAAAAATTACGTTAGGGGCTGTAACAGGCCAGTAGAGTAATCCATGAGGGTGACTGATTATTGCAGTATCATTGTGTCTGTGCGTGAAACCTGTGCTGATTGGCAACGAGGTGTCGAGCCACAAGCGGACCCAGCGTTAAAGGGCAAGAAAGACCCAGACAATGGTTTTGGCATTAAAGTACCTCGCAGAAATGTTGGTAAGTTCCGTATTGTATTTCATCTGGTTTGTGTAATAATATATTTAATTATTTGTGTCTAGACATGCAGTCTTTAACTAACTCGTGTCATATCTAGTGTATCCGTTTCAGATATGGACTGTTTTTATTTAATTATTTGTGTCTAGACATGCAATCTTTAACTAACCCGTGTCGTATCTAGTGTATCCTTGTCGGATATGGACTGTTTCGGCACAATTTAATAAGTTTTGTATTGCCCTTTGCATTTACTTTTTGCTTATGCACAGGAAAAATATGCTTCCTCGCTGTTCACATTAGTACTTGCTTGTCAAGTAGCCATGAACTGACTAGATACGTTATTAATTATATTCTTTAATCCCGTTTAGCCTCCAGTAACTCAAAGTGCTTCCCATTCTTTATTTAGTTAATTCATTTCTTCGCACCTTTTATTATTATTTGAGTTAATTGTATTTATTTATTTATAAACATGTAAGTCTGTTTTATATTCTGTGAACTTTACTTTTCTCCTAAGTTCTTAAGTTTACCAAACAACATATTTTCCAGGCATAACCCATAATTTTGTAAGTTTTGACTATATTTAAAATGTGAATCCTTCTTTCTCAATTGTGATTCATATTAGGACATAACTTATATACAAATTCAGTTTTCCATTTTTCTCGTATCTGATTTTATTTGTGTAGGGCCCTCATCCACTCAATTATACATGGTGAGAACCATGTTGGAGTCATTGATTGCAGACAAGTCTGGTGGTAAACGGACTTTACGCAAGGATATTGATGGTCAGTACTTGGTACAGATTGATCAATTCCACAAGACATCGTTCTACTGGAATTACATGCTGGCGTTCAGTGGTGAGTTGTGGAGATCTCAGTTTTAATCTTATACTGTATTGCTGTATTGGTGGGGTGTTCTTTGACATTGAAAAAGCCTATGACGCAGCTCGGCGATATGGGATATAGATCCAAATCTCTCCCAGCCATAGAACAATAATTCCAGCTAACCATCATCTGGTTGTCACTGTGGAGTAAGGATAATAGTTTTAAATTTTTGTTTGCGAAGACCGCTTATATCCATTTCAGCAGACTTCGAGGTGTGTTTCCCTACCCAAACCACTTTTCCTCTTTCATAAATGGAGACTGTCAGATTTCTAGGGTTTGTTTTAGATAGACACATGACGTGGGAACCACACATTGTAAGTGAATATTCTGCTTCATTTGTATCGAAAAGTATTTAAACTTTGAATAACATTTGACCAAGTCTCCAGATCTGGTACAAGAAAAGGTTTTTATTTCTAGCCTCCTTGCAAGACTGCTGTGACCTGTCCCAGCTGTGGTATCGAGAGTTCTATCTTGAGATGACCATGGGTCGTAGAATACAGGTAAGCGGAGAATGCTCTCTCTGTTAGAAGACAAGACTATGGTGCACTGTGTGGGATTACCAGTATATTAATATTAAGTTTAATATTATGATTGCCAAGAAATTTAGTGTGGGCTTTTGGTGTGGTTTAGAAAAGATGTACCTTTGGCCTTTTTTAGTATTTCTTCTCTGATGATATTTGTTATAAACTGAATGTTATTTTGTAGATGTATTGTATGTAATTTTTGTAATCACTGTTTTCGTAGTGGTGAGATGTATTAAGCCAGTCATTAAATTGACTGTCTGTGGACTGGATCACTGGGAGTTTGATCCTCAGTAGGTATTACGGGAATTTTTCTCTTCTCCACCATGTCCAGTACAGGTCTGGGGCCACCCAGCCTCCTATCCAATGGGTACCAGGATGACTGTGGGTGTAAAGGAAGCCAGAGAATAAAGCTGACCACTCCATCTAATGCTGAGTTTTTAGAATGTGTGAGGCTTCTTTCTCTGTATGCCTTTTGTCTTTACGACGTGGTAGCCGGGTAAACACACAGAGATAACTTGGTAGTTTAAATGCGGTGACGGCAATGGGTGGTCCTCTGAAAACAAACTTGCTGCATATTACAGTTGACATTATAAACAATATTTTCTTCTTAACTATACAGAATCTTTATAAAATAATTAATTATACAGAGTGCTTATAAAATAAGTATATTTTGTACAGAATGACATGGGGATGCCAAACTGAACCAAAACATGTTTTATAAAATATGTCTGGAAATTCTTTGCAATGAAACTATATCTGCCTCATTTTCTCTGCAAGAATGAAATAAAGGATGAAGATTTATGATGTTTTATTGTGTCAGCCTATATGTGCTAGAATACTGCAGTTCTGAAGACCTGTGTTGTGTGTAGGATGCAGTGGTTAATCTTTGTCACATGGTCACATGTCATGGTGTGTATGATCGTATCTGTGCCGAGTGTGTTTAAGAACTTGCATAAACAGTATCTTATATAAGACAGTAGATACAATGAAAACCTACATTAACTTGTCGCAACTATTATCACACTTATGGATCTTAGAGAATGAGACAGCTTTAATTGCTTCATAAAATTATGCCAACTTGACTAAAACCTTTTGACTCAGTCTGGCACTTCATTTCATTCTGTAAAAGGAGCAACAGCTTATTTATTAAGCACACTGAACGTACTTATTTTTGTGGTCTACACTGTGTCTGATACTAATAATATGTTATATTGGACGCAGCAGTTGGCTGTTGTCATATTACAGCTGGAATACAGTTTTCTTGAAGGAAGTGCTGTAATTTTCTGAAATTTGCAAAGAGTTTTTGGTGTCATCACAAGCAGACAGTAGTAACAGAATGCAAATTGAATATTTTGCGTGTGTATGGTACGCACTAGGTTGTATAATGGTGCTGGTGTCTTGTTTTGTTATTGGCGCGGAATAGAAGTGTACTGTGAGACATCAACATAATGAAGAATGCAGTGACCTCATCACCATGGAGAAACGTATCCAGGTAGACCATCCATCCATTTGTCTCATGCAAAAAGTAATCCTGTGGTTAAAAGTCAACAACCTGTGAAATTTTAGAAAACTTGAGACTGTTTACAGAAATTTTATAATATTCGCTTGATGGAAAGTAACGGATTTTTGGTTAGTTTTGTTCAGTGTCGTTACAGTCACGTGTTGTTCTGTATCATTGAAGTATCTCAGACTATAAACTGTGATGTTTAAATAAAATTCCAGCTTGTCTTTGCTGTCATCGAGGTTGGGGTAAATTGTATGGGAACCAAGAGAAATAAATTTATACAAATTGTAGCAGTTTGATTCAAATTAGAGGCATGCACCTGGAGCACTTTTTGATTGCACCAAAATTGATATGATTTACATCATTTTATTGAAACCAAAGACATGCCACTTTGCTTTTTCATTTTAACTCACATTATATAATAAGTGTTTTTGTTGAAAACAAAATATAAAACTTGTCATTTCCATTTAAACCAAATGCTTATCATGAAAGCAGTTTCAGTGAAAAAACAGCATTAACCAATTCAACTCACCGCTGAATGGAAGCAGAGAAAGCTGAAACATAATTTTATCTAATTCAGTGTATAGCTTGAGATGGCTTTACTGAAAATCATAATCCATATATCGCACTTCGTTCTTTGGATATTACTTTCTGACTTGAATTCATTTCAATACTCAGGATGCTTACTATTACTGGTACACATCTAAGGACTGTGGCCAAAGTTCCAGTGCTGTTTCATTTCTAATTTAGGTTGCCATTGTGTCCCGCGCCGTGGCCGCGCGGTCTGAGGCATCATGCTTCGGACCGGCGATACGGAATGCGCGCTGGTTCGAGTCTCGGGGGAAAAGAAATTTTCTCACGAGCTTTCGACCGGTGTATGGGACCGGTGCCAACCCAGCATCGTGAGGAAATTGGGGAGCTACAATGAGTAGCGTAATCCAGTCAGGAAAACTAGCAATGGCTGGGGGTTCATCGTGCTGACCACACGTCACCCTATATCTGGTTGGATGATCGTTCACCTCTGCTTAGGCATGTGAACGTGAGGACAGCAGTCAAGCTAGTCGGCTTTGGCTCTCTGAAGCTGTTAAGCCATGGATTTAATTTAATTTAATTTAATTGTGTGGTAGAGTCAGTATCTCTGCATGTTGACTTTTTTGACACAGGATTGCTACTGTCAGCATCCCATGCTCCGGGTTTCTCTTGTTATGTTACTTGTATGTTGTTTATTAGTTGGCATGTTTGCTGAAATTGATTTTCTGGATGGCTGGTTGCTTAGTTTCTGTATTGCAGCCGCTGCACAGCTGGCCTGGATTTTTTTGTGCTCTGCTGTACCAAAGTGTGTTGTGTTTTGTTATGTTATGTCATGTTTAGTATAATTCACTAATGGCAGTATTAATTCTGATATCAGATATGTAGTACATCTGTCTCATAGGATGGTGGAAGGTATGAACACATAGTATATTTATAGAACACGGTCTAACATATGATACAGTAGATCTGAACTTTCATCTTTCCGTGTAGCTTAACTTGAGCTGGTAGTTGGTAGATATTGTGGTTACTTTGAATATGGGCTGCATTACATGATGTGTGCTAGCAGTCGGCTGTAACTCACTGGTGGAGTACAGAAGTTGACGTTTAAAGCATTTTCTCTAATTAAGAAATGTAAACAGCTTAACTTGGAAACAAGAATGAAACGCAGTAGTTTGTTTAAATATGAATTGTTTTCTTCGCATATTATTTTGTTCTATTCTGTGCTTCCGGTCTCGCGCCGTAGCCGCGCGGTCTGAGGCATCATGCTTCAGACCGGTGATACGGAATGCGCGCTGGTTCGAGTCTCGGGGAAGAAGAAATTTTCTCATGAGCTTTCGACCGGTGTATGGGACCGGTGCCAACCCAGCATCGTGAGGAAATTGGGGAGCTACAATGGGTAGCGTAATCCGGTCAGGAAAACTAGCAATGGCTGGGGGTTCGTCGTGCTGACCACACGTCACCCTGTATCTGGTTGGATGAGCGTTCACCTCTGCTTAGGCATGTGAACGTGAGGCCAGCAGGCAAGCTAGTTGGCTTTGGCTCTCTGGAGCTGTTACGCCACGGATTATTATTATTATTCTGTGCTTCCTGTGGTTTATCTTAGAAGGAAAATTCCGATCTAACTCAAAGATTCTGTTACTAGAAGACGAAAGAAATAAAGCAATACAACTGAAGGAGGGTACATATTTCATATGAATGTTTACGTTTGTATTTGTATTGTACAATGTATTTTTGTTTTATCTGTAAGTGTTAAACAGAAACTTGTCTGAAATTAAGAAAAGTTTAGGTCCTTGGGGATTTCTTTATAGGTTTGTTTTACTGTACTTCCGTTGAAACATACTACCATAATAACTGCAGTAAAATCTTTTCATTTGAAATTGTGTCAGAGAGAGTGGAGTGAAGTTGAATAAGTTGTTAGGGTTTATTTAATTTTGTTTCTGTAAAATAAGTTAATAAACTGAAATTACCTGTTTTCTGTTAAAAATTATGCATGACTAAATATTAATAAAAAATTACAGTTTTAAATGTGCAAATAATTTTTATGCATTACCAGGAAGGAACAAATTGAAAGAATGAGCTCTTACAGGATCTGAAAAAATATGTATGTAGTATTAAACCGGAGGAATGAGACACACAAACCGCAGTACAGGTGAAAGGATTGTGTTTTCTACTTATTGTAAAAGACAATTTACATCTAATATGATGATGAATTATGCATGATTTTGCTGCCATTATTGATCTTGTTATGCTGTGGGTACTTTGGATTTTTTGTGTGCCTTTACCTACAGGAAATATCACATTTCAAGAACATAACTTTCTTGTCTTTGGCTAATAAAATTGTCTAAACAGTATATACAGAGGTTGAAATATGTGTATTAAATATTGTATAATTTGAAGAGCTGTGCTTCATCTGAAATGTAATATTTCCGTTTATTATATACAAGGTTATTACAGTGGAGTATAAAATTATCATCATTTATTTTGGACACACTGACATTCCTGCACAAATGATCAGTAGAAACAGTAACTGAGTAATTTCTTTTTAACTCAGAATTAGCTCGATTGGTAATTCTTATAAAATGAAAATGATCCTCCCCCCCCCCCCCCCCCCCCAGATTTTCTGTTAATTTTATAAAATGACTTCACAAACTCGTTGTTTTGGCCATCAAGCCCAGTTGGTATTGGTTGGACGCAGACAAAATATTTTATTAATGCTTAAGAAAAGGGCTAAAGGGGTTGAATCCCAAGATTTAGAGAGCCATGGCTTAACTTTTACACTGCCATTCTATTTTCCAGGAAGTGTTTATATCCTGTTAGAAACATTTTGTGGGTTGTGCCATAGGTCATGCAGCTAGATGCTGAATTGTCATCACTGAGACCCAGGCCCAATCCCAATGGACTTAAAGTGAGATTAATGATGGACAGAGCGGTATTAGAGCAGGTTTTTACAAGTTCTTCAGTCTTCCACTCTTCCTCCATACTTGTCTGTCACCACCCGATGAGTTGTGCCGTGGCCCTGACTAAGCAGCACATTACTGTAGCCTTGGTTCTAAGTTTTTGAGTTTGTAGGAAAATTAGGTTGTTCGTTGTTAAGTTTCAAGCAACCTTATATATATTTTGTACAGAATGTCCAAGAATGTGTGCCCACAGACCTAACCACACGAATCCTAATGAAATTTTTAAATGAAAATGTTCAAGAAAATTTGTAAAGATAATGTATATGCAATATACATTATCTATATGGTATTTCTTGAATAGTGGAATACCTATTAGTTGTTCAGTCAGGAAGATTCTGTGCCATAAGTTAGAAGCTTAGCAGTAATAAAAATTACATTTAATAGATGCCAAATTCTCTGTCATTATGGAACATGGAGTTTATCATCACCAGAAAAGCCTGCAAACATTGCTATCAAAGAAAATAGACATCCGGATTTCATGTGATTATAATAATGTTTGCAGGCGTTCGTGGTGTTGGTGATGAAGGTGAACATTCATGTTCCATGTTGGCAGACGTTCTTTAACAGTTAAGTATCGCTTCGTTGCTCACTGTGTATTGCACTGTACCACAGAACTGGGTGGGGCAGTATTATGTTTGCAGTATTGGCAGCTGTTAAACACTTGATGTAGCTGTCAAAAATTCTGACACTATTTCTTCTGTTAACAATTTGGCTTCCTAGTATGTTGTTAATGTTGCATGGTGTTTGTATTGTAACAGTTTGTACTACCCTGCATACTGTTTTAATATGTGATGTTTTATTTGAAACATGGTTATTGTTTAGTCTTTATCTCTGTTGAAGTATAAATTAACAGTGGAAGAGTACATATACTATGTTTCTAAATAGGCTGTGTCATACAGCCCTCTTACGTATTGAAAAATTTTACTTTGTGCCAGCCTTATATCTAAACATAAATATTTTTAACCTAGCCTGTGTAAAATTACAGGATTTGTGTCATAATTTTTATAATATTTTAGATTTCAAGTTATTTTATGTGTTGTTTAATTTGAGCTGTTCGTAACCTGCAAGAGTTATGTAGTAGAATGATTTTGATTGCTTGATTCTTGTTTTAATGATGATTTAATCTGTAACTTGAGACAGCAAACTCTATTACTTGGACAGGCCCTTGCAGCAAGTAGTTTTGGGTCAGAAAGAAAGGGCTCTGTCTCCATGTTGAATTAAGCTCGTCTTTCAAGTATTAGGCTTTGAGGTACACGAACAATTTCCATTCTTTTCATTTAAATACTGTGGAATGTTGTTAAATTTAGCAGAAAGCAGAAAATCGGGATTAAAGTTGAGAGACTAGAGTCAGACTGCTATCTGTGATTCCTTATTATGCTAAATTTTTTATCACAGTATAATTTAAATATATCTCAAAATACTTAGGCCCTTGTGTGAAGTTCAGTTTATATCAGAATTTAGTTAACTCAGTAAAGTTTAATGCCATAACTCATTCTTCCAAAGGAGAACTTTATTAATGCAGAAAGTACATTTGTCGACACAGCAGTACTTTACCTTATATGGCTTGTATTAGGTAGGTATGGAATTCAGATCTTGGATAGTATACCAGCTAAATACTCTCCCTATTTCTGTTTGAGTTTACGTACATAATCATCCATTCTTCTTATTCAGTGCCAAATAATGTCTTTAGTTGACACATTGTCATTAAAACTCACAAACAGAGCATGTGAACAGACATTCCAAAGGTAATATTGCCACTCACAATTTTTAAATATGCTGAATAATGCACGATATTGCCTATTTACGGCACAGCATGAAGTATGTGGGGTTGTACATGAAAGCAGATACCTCTATACTTGATGTTTTTGTTACATATTGTAACAAATGGATCAATATTTGTTATGAATTGATTCTCATTTGCAGTTTCCCATCGAGATGTCGATGCCATGGATTCTCACTGATCACATCCTCAGAACAAAAGAACCATCCATGATGGAGTAAGTGATATTAGAATGATGTTTTTTCACCTTACCTTCAGAGAACTTTTACTGTTTGATTCAGTGTTCCTTTATATGACCTGTTCACCCGTCTAGAGAATACAAAGGTTTACCTTTAATGCCCATGCAGGACTATAAGAAATCGGTTGATTTTGTGAAGGAACGAACCAAACCAGCATAAAAAAATGGCTTAATTTGTGGCTGTCAAATGCATATTATCTGACAACATTCAAAGGAAAGAATTTATTGTGCTCTAAAAGAGCGTAAGTTAACTATAGGTAGATTTATCTTACAGTTAGCATGGGTTTGTCCATGAATAGATGTAAAACTGTTCATAATATGATTTACGTGCAATATGTACAGGTATGTGCTGTACCCACTGGACCTCTACAATGACAGTGCAGTATACGCCCTCACAGTGTTTCGCAAGCAATTCCTCTATGATGAAGTGGAAGCTGAAGTTAATCTTTGTTTTGATCAGTTTGTCTACAAGCTCAGTGAACAGATTTTTGCCCACTACAAGCAACTAGCAGCCAGGTAAATAATAGAATAATAGGTTTTGTTCTGTAAAGGTAAGTATTTTTTTTTTTAATGACGAGCTTCTCTTTTATTTCCCTTCTCTCATAATACTTTAGGATTTATACAAAATGTTGATTGGGAACCCACAAGAGAAGAGCCCAGTTGTAAGATGTAGGTGTAGATAGGAGGATAATATTAATATTTATCTTACAGAAATGTGTTGTGAAGATATAAACCACATTTAACTGGCTTATATATAGTCCAATAGACAGGTTTTGTTTCCACAATGTTTGTGTTCCCTGATTAAGTTTCATGATCAGCTGAAAAAATATTAACTGCTGAAGGAAAGTCCTATACCGTGTAGTTTGTCAGGTAGGTAGGTAGTTACCTTGAATTTTGTCACCTGAGTAACTATCACCACTAATCGACATTACTGCTGGGGTGAAATATACGTAAATCATTGCAATCCAGCAACAAGTTCGCCATTTGCTTTTATTCAGTGAGTGTTTCAGAGTTTTGTGTCCTAAATAATCTATCGCTTTCTTCAGCATCTTGCTGGACAAACGTTTCCGGGTGGAGTGCGTGGCGTTAGGGACATACTTGCTGCCTTATCCTCGAGCAAATCGTTACGAAACGCTTCTAAAACAGAGACATGTTCAGCTGTTGGGCCGTTCTATTGACCTCAACAAGCTGATTACCCAGCGCATCAATGCTGATATGCAGAAATCATTGGATCTAGCAGTCAGCAAGTTTGAAGCAGGTGACATCACAGGGATTGTGGTGAGTAATTTCTCTTGGTCTGTACGTTATTAACCATCATTTACTATGTAAATAGCAAAAATATATGGTGGCTACTAACCAGAAGGTACAGCAACAGACTAGAGGAAAAATCCTCTGGCCCTATGGGGAATTCTTCATAATGACTTCATATAGCTTGAGAGGCACTGTACACTCGTGCCATAGGTCATTAATCCAAGACGACTCTGGCACCATCTACATTGGTCAAACAGCTTGTTGTGATGGAACAGCCTCCCAATACTGCTTCTGCTTACAAGAGAGCATTTGTGAATTTAAAATCTGGAGGCAATAACTGAGTTGTTGTGCTCTGAATACTTTCCGTAAATTGTTAATTTTGATTTCAGGTTCGCATGGCACTGAGTCTGAAGATTACTATCCTCGGGGATATTGCATCATGTAGTCTGGTAGAAATTTACAACTGTTTGATACGTGCTGGAGGCATTAAACACCTCTGAAACAGTCAGTTTCTACCAGACTTCACGGTGCAGTATCCCAGAAGACAGTCATCTTCATTCCCAAAATTATTTGTATCTGTATCCACTGTCTCTGGTCTCTGTTTTGTGTATTTTCTCCCCTTGTAGTCTTTCGTCTTACGTGTTGTGGACACTGATAACTTCAGGAATTTGTTTTCTGTTGCAGGAATTGGATGGACTGCTGCAGGTGAACCGATTATGTCACAAATTACTGTCAAAGCATCTTGCATTGGATGACTATGATGCCATGTTCAGAGAGGCTAATCACAATGTGCTGGCTCCTTATGGTCGTATCACACTTCACGTCTTCTGGGAACTCAATTACGATTTCCTGCCAAACTACTGCTACAATGCAGCAACCAACCGGTACAGTGTAATTCTAATGCAGTGATTTTGGAACTGTGCTTTACAAATCTTGGGAAAGTGCAGAAAATATTTGGGGTTTTCCAGAAAAAATTTGTATTGACATTTTTTTTATTATTATTCCTAGACATTATTTTAAAACAAAATGCATTTATTTGGTTGGTGTTGTACTTAGTTGCTTTTACAAATGTTGCCTTTTGAGGCGTATAGTTCCACTAGGTTCCTTGCCACTTTTTTGTCTTTGCAGGTGAGGCAACTGAATTCATATATTGACCTAAAAATTATTTTTCTGGGATCGCTAGGTCTTTCCATCACTTCTTGACTGTAGTAATTTCTTTATCTGTGATACTAACCTTGCGTTTGTCATATATGTCAGTATTTTTTTTTATCATTTATATCCAGCTGAGAGTCTTAAGAGTTTCTTTCTTTTCAGAAGAAAACATTATTTGTGAAACACTTTGTAAGAATTAAGATAAAGGACAGTGTACCAAGCAAAGTGAGAGGAGGAAAAAGTAGGGACTTTTATGAGAAAAATCTTCTAAACAAGTCTTAATTTTGGGTGTATATATTATATTCTTGTTTCAAGGATTATGTAGAGTAATAAAGTTTGAAAAGTATTGTTTTAATGCTTGTGATAAAGATAATGTCTGTCGTGGTTCATGACACAGTATGTGGTCTGCAGTTTTGATGTTGACTGCTCTGTGACTTCGTTTCCTCTGCGTATGTGCTAAAGAAAAACCACATCTTGAAGGTGATGGTAGTCAGAAGTGGATTAATTGTGCTATCTAGTCAATCACAAGGAAGGTGGGGCACCTGCTCAGTTATCCAGATTGCAATACGTAATTGTAAGAACCCTTTAGAATGAATTAAATTGTGTTTCTCTTCTTCCTTCACCCTCAAGATTTGTCAAGTGCCGTGGTATTACATTCACTCAACCAGTGCATCGGGACAAACCTCCGCAAATGGGTCATCACTATCTGTGGGGAAGCAAACAACTGAACTTGGCCTATAGCACCATATATGGACAGTATGCAGGTGAGTCAGCCTGTCCCTTATCCTTAAATAGTCGAAACGAAGTGGCAAAAAGCACATCTGCACACGGCTATGAGCTAGTAAAGATCTGGCTGTTATCAACCTCTTGTTGCACTGTGTAGTCTGGTCGATGTTAACCAACGTTTCAGAGGTCATACTGCCTCCGTCATCAGAGTATGAAGATTTCTGTCTTCTGGGTTGTTGCGCTGTGTAGTCTGGTCGATGTTAACCAACGTTTCAGAGGTCATACTGCCTCCATCATCAGGGCGATGAGTATGAAGATTTCTGTCTTCTGGGTTGTTGCGCTGTGTAGTCTGGTCGATGTTAACCAATGTTTCAGAGGTCGTACTGCCTCCATCATATTATTTGCTTATTTTGACACATTAAGCAGAAATTTAGGCATGAGAGAGAAAGGCACATGTACAAGGAGAGCACTTTTGGGAGAACTGAGGAGAATGCCATTCTGATGGTATTCTTATTTTTTTATGCTCGTGGCTCTGATCAAGATCAAGCCTGGAAGCACTAAACAGTAGACCAGTGGCGTGAAATTTGACTTTCATGATTAATTTTCTTTCCATTTATTTATTCTTGCATATGAACCTGTGCTGCATTGTGAAAGATGTGGAAAATTATGTTCTGATTTGAAGTGTTAAAGTAATTTAATGTTCGATGTGTCACCAGGTTTTGTGGGTGCCACCCATTTCCGGACTATGTGCCGGCTGTTGGGTTACCAAGGCATTGCAGTTGTCATGGAAGAACTGCTCAAAATAGTCAAGAGCTTGGTGCAAGGAAACCTGTTGCAGTTCACAAAAACTTTAATGGAAGCCATGCCCAAAATTTGCAAACTGCCTAGATATGACTATGGTTCTCCTGGTAAGTTATTCATCTTTTTTTATATATGTATATTACAAATATTTGTAAGCTAATAAGGCTTTGGGACAGAAAAGGTGTGTGTTCTTTAAAACGTAGTCGCCTTTGAATTAACTTCGTGGCTTAAATTCAGAAAAATATGGAGCTCACTGGAATTTTCAGGTGTGCTTGGATATTATCACGCTCAACTGAATGATATTGTCCAGTATCCAGATGCACGAACCGAGTTGTTTCATAGCTTCCGTGAATTCGGGAACACGATATTGTTCTGCCTGTTGATGGAGCAAGCGTTGTCGCAGGAAGAAGTGTGTGACCTCCTGCATGCAGCCCCATTCCAGAACATTTTACCGAGGCCATACTGCAAAGGTATGTTTGAACGCTTTTTTCAAATTAAGGAGGAAGCTGTGAATTACACAGATTTAGTTCAGTTAATGTTAGAAGCTTGTATAGAAGCACAACTGAATTAGGAAAGGTTACCAACTTGTGGATTAATTACCTGTTAGCTATTGAACGCACATGGGGTTAATACGTTAGGCAGGCTGAGGTCATACAGCTTAGCTATTAGTATCTTAGCCTTGTTCTTTTGAGGTTGAAATTGCTATTGAAAGGTTTAAAAGGTATAAATTGCCAGGTTTTGTTAAAATTCCAGCATAATTGATCCAAGATGGAAGTAAAACATTACATTCCGAGATCCATGAGTGCATTAATGCTATGTGGAATAAGGAAAGTATCTAATTTATAAAGAGGGTGATAAAATTGACCGTAGTAATTTTGGAAGAACTTGTTGTTCTTACAGTCAGTAATAACGATGCTGAATACACTGTAGCCATTCACTTATGTGATTTTGGGTATCATTTAGTTTACTTTAAAATATTCTGTATTTTAAAGGACTTGGGATGTTTTCATCTGTTGTTTTATCCCATCTTATTTTCATATTAGATTCAGTTTTATTGTTGTTATTTCCATCACTAGTGCCGAGTTAAGATTTAATTTACATTCGTGCAGATGGTGAGAAGCCTGAGACGAAACAGAAGCGACTGGAAGCCAAGTATGCAGCTCTTCAGATTGTTCCCAACATTGAGAAGCTTGGTACTCCCAAGGTATGGTTTTCTGTTTATAGTGAAATGCCATTAAAATTACTTCTGCATTCTATCAGTAATTGTGATGCCAAGCGTGGGAAAATTTGTTTATGGTAAATTGTCACTTCAAATTTCACCAAATTGAGAAGTGTTTCAGATCAAAATTGTTCTTTTCAGTGAGATGAATATTTGGTTTTGTTTGTTTTTTGTGTGCATGTGTGTGTTTTGCTTATAACTAAGTAGTATGTAGTTGCAAGATGGCAGCACATCTCTTGAAGACACGGAGGCTTGACATTTAGGGTTTATGAATGAGAATTGTATTATTTCAGCAAGCTATGATTGCACGTGAAGGTGATCTGTTGACAAGGGAGCGTCTTTGCTGTGGATTGTCCATTTTTGAAGTTGTCCTGAGTCGATTGCGCAGTTTCCTGGATGACCCCATTTGGGTTGGCCCCCCACCTGCAAATGGTGTCCTCAATGTTGATGAATGTACAGAGTTCCACAGACTGTGGTCTGCCTTGCAGTTTGTGTACTGTATTCCAGTAGGTGACACCGAATTCACTGTTGAGTAAGTGGAAGTTCAATTTTCTGTGTTCGTGAAACTTAAACTAACTTCATGGTACATTTTCTTTGTGAGCGGTTAATGTTTATTTAGCTGATTTATAAATTACTTGTTTTTTGTGGAAGATTCATCACCAGTGTTACGAGATGCTGAATAGAAACATTAATTTGTTTTTCAGACTTTGTGGATTGTTTACTGGCATAAGAGCATTTATTTACTAAATTATGCGCAGTATTTCGTAAAGTATGCAGATTGTCATGTATTGAAATAATGAGTAATATTTGTTCTGCCAGTAAAGCGACAAACTTTGGACTAGGTGGCTGGAGTTAAATTTTTGGCATGTCATTGGAATATTTCTGTTAACTAGCACAATTTCAGATGTGTCTTGAACCAACTCACCTTATGCAGTTGGTACTAGTGGCCCTTTATGCAGGAGTATTCTTTTATGAAACATGAACTGGAACGTGTCCTGATCCAGTTCATTTCCTTTCACATGTAGCTGTAAAATTATGTTCAGTCAAAACATACTTTGTACTATTCTGCAGGGAATTGTTTGGTGAAGGGCTGAACTGGGCAGGTTGCACCATGATAGTGTTGTTGGGACAGCAGCGACGCTTTGAGGCACTTGACTTCTGCTACCATATACTACGTGTGCAGCGTGTGGATGGGAAAGACGAAAATGTTAAAGGAATTGTGAGTATGAAGTTTTCTGTCTCCTGGGTTGTTGCGCTGTATAGTCTGGTCGATGTTAACCAACGTTTCAGAGGTCATACTGCCTCCGTCATCAGGGCGATGAATTGTGAGTATATTAAAATGTTGGTCTGAAGGTACCTTGTAATCTGGAGCTAATACACTCAGATTTACACCATATATTTCAGGTTCAAGATCAGCAGACCCAGCATGGGATTTTACTGCATGAAAAATATTTTGAAAATCCTAAATTTCATTAACTTGGTATTTGTTTAATGGAAATATTTTGTTTTTATTGATAGGCTCTGAAAAGGATGGTGGACCGCATTCGCCGCTTCCAAGTGCTCAATTCACAGATATTTGCAGTACTCAACAAGTTCCTGAAATCAAGTGACTCTGATGTGATGGCAGTTGAGCATGTACGATGTTTTCCTCCACCATTGCATCCTACATTGGCAGCCCAGGCCCACTATTATCGCCCTGAACATCTCCGTCAGGCTGTTCCACACTGAATTCTGGGAATCCGAAATGTGATATTTCATTATTCATCACATGTAATATTTAGAATTCATCTGCATATAACCATTTAATATTGTGTTTCCATCTCTGTGAGATGAACGTTAACAGGGCACAATCTGGGCCATGTGTCAATTTGCTCCCAAATGTTAGGGATCTCCAGGTACAAGTTCTCGAATAAATTTATTTTAATCAAATGAAGAGCACGCTCAAAACACTTAGTAAACTTGTGCTGCAAAATTACCGTCAAGGTAACTCATTGAATATCTGTTTCTGTCTTTTAAGAACTAATTTTTGGTTGTGATTGGTTTATTCAGTTACACTGACACAAAACCAATCTTGGCCCTAAAGACAACTTTCTAAGGTTAGCTTTTCAGGTGACACCAGAATTTTGTGTGGTGAAACTTTGTGGTGTGCCATCATGTATCTTTGGGTGTGTCACAGTGAAAACAGTTTGCACAACACCAGGTTAGTATAAATTGCTGGTCTGCAGACTCTTTGATCTGGGGAAGTAGTGGTCTTGGGATAAGTTGCTGGACCGCTGAGCCAGAGGCATGTAAAGATGGTTGTCTTATGGTTTGTAGTGCTGTAGGAGGACCTCTGAAATGTTAGTGAACTTCTGCCACACTGCATGGCCCTACAATCCAGAAGACAGCGATCTTCATACCACCATGAGAACCTCAAATCATGTTACAGAGGCCTCTGGTTTGAGACTGGCCAGATCCAATGTACATTTTTCTAGATCCCTTTATCTTTCCTTTTCTTTGATAAAAATTTACTCTCAAATGTGAGGAATGTCGGAGTCATATTTATCTAAAGTTTGCCAATGTCTGTTCCTGTTCATCATGCACTATATAATATTACAAATTTATATACAAATTATTGTCTTAAAACCTTTTGTAATATAACTTTGTGAACAAGTGTTTTTCTTATGGCACATTCTTGTTAGCAACTCCTTGATTAGATGGTCCAAAGATTCAATTTTATGGAACCTAATGTTCATTACTTTTCTGAAAATTCCACCATTGGACTCAACCCTACCCTGAGTTATTACTTTACATATTCACAACTCTTTGAAATCTCGTTTAATTTTATCCTCCCACCTGTGTCCAGGCGGGCTTTTCCCTTGATATTTTGAAACCAAATTCTTTGATGAATTTCTTTTTTCTCCTGTGCGCTACATGCACAACTTTTCTCATCCTTCTTGAGTTTTAACCATTAGTGAAGAGTACAAATTATAAGCTCTTTGGTATAGATTTTATCTCCCCCCCCCC